AGGGAGACACAGAATTCGAAGCAGGCTCCAGGCTCCGAGCTGTCAGCACAGAGCCTGACGCGGGGCTCGAACTCATGAACTGTGAGATCATGACCTGAGCCGAAGTCGGACACTTTACCGACTGAAACACCCAGGCGCCCCAAGAAACAGATTCTTAACTGTAGAGAACAAACTGATGGTTACCAGAGGAGCTGTGGGTAGGGGATAAGGTGAAATAGATGAAGGGGATTAAAGAGTGTACTTATCATGATGAGCACTGAGTAATGTGTAGAAGTGTTGAATCACTATATTGCACTCCTAACGCTCATATAACACCTTTTGTTAACTGTACTGGAATAAAAATAAAAAACGTAATTAAATAAAAAGAAAGAAAAGAAAAATCAATTGACCATAAATGTAAAGGTGTATTACTGGATTTGTGATTCTGTTCCATTCATCTGTATGCTTGTTTTTATGCCAGCACTACATTGTCTTCATTATTGTAGTTTTGTAGTTAAGTTTTGAGGTTGGGAATTGTGCATATTCTAGCATTATTCTTTTTCAAGATGGTTTTGGCTAGAGTGAGAGTGTATAAATCTGAATAGGATTAAGTAACTCCCTGCTTAAAAATCTTTAAATCAGTCACATCTGATTGCATCTATCATAAAACTTCATATCCCTAAACTGATCCACCAGATTTACAATCTGACCCCTACCCATCTTTCCAGTTTCATCATTGACCTGTTTTTCTTGCTCACTGCTTTACCTAGCTCCTTAAAAGCTTTATTTTTTTTTTATTTTATTTTTTTTTATTTATTATTTTTGGGACAGAGAGAGACAGAGCATGAACGGGGGAGGGGCAGAGAGAGAGGGAGACACAGAATCGGAAACAGGCTCCAGGCTCTGAGCCATCAGCCCAGAGCCCGACACGGGGCTCGAACTCACGGACCGCGAGATCGTGACCTGGCTGAAGTCGGATGCTTAACCGACTGCGCCACCCAGGCGCCCCTCCTTAAAAGCTTTAAAATGCCTTTCCATTGCAAGGCTTTTGTATATCCATTTGCTTTTGCTTAGAATGCTCTTGTTTTCACTTTACCTAATTCCTACTCACTGATCAGATCTCTACCTAAATATCATTTTTTAAATGTTGTTTTTCTTTTTCATTCCATTTTCTGTGTTACTTTCTTTTCTCTCCATTGTTTTCTTCCTACCTGCCCCCTTTTAAACTGAATATTGGTAAAACATCTTAAGTGTGTCTTCTATATCATGGATTCTGTTTTTTGCATAGATATTTCAATGCTATGTTGCCACCAATGTTCTTTTTTTTTATTTTCTTTTTTTTAAAGTAGGCTCCGTGCTGAGCATGGAGCCCAATGCAGGGCTTGAACTCACGACCTTGAGATCAAGAGCTAAGCTGAGATCAAGAGTCAGATACTTAACCTACTGAGCCACCTAGGCACCCCACTACCAGTGTCCTTAATTAATGCTTTTTTTCTTTTTTCTTTTCTCTCTTTTTTTTTTTTTTTGCAGTCTTTTCGTATTAAGCTGATCTTTTAATCTCAACCTGTTCTCACCTTGTGGTTCTCTGTTGCAGCTTTATAATGAAGTACTGTGCCTGGTACAGTAATATATGTTCAAATATGTGACTAAAGGAATGAATACATGAGTAAACAAAAACCAGATCTTGGTGTAACCTACTGAGACTATCAAAATATTTTTCTACGAAAGTATTCCTTTAAAACCCAAAAAACAAAAAGCCCGGCTATGTTGAGGTATGACTTATGTACCCTAAGACTTATCCATTGTAAGAGTGTAATTCAATGATTTTTAGTAGATTTTATAAGGTTGTGCAAGTCTCACAACAGTCCAGTCTTAGAACATTTCCATTACTGCAAAAAGTCCCCTCATGCCTATTTGTCATTAAATTCCTGCTTCCACCTCCTGCTTTCTGTCTCTATAAATTTGCCTTTTATGGACATTTCATATAAATGTATGCTGATGTAGTTGCTCAGATACACACACACACACACACACACACACACACACACACACACACACGTAAAATTATTTGCATTTTTAAGCATGGCTTTCTAGGGGTTGCCTTCCTGTCAGCACAGTTCATTGGACAGTGGTTGTGCTCTGATATCTTAAGCCAGTGTGACTTTTCATCTGCCAGTGGATCTGCATTTGGGTAGAGGAGCACATTCCAAGTTGAGGCCATTTTCAAATCTGCACTGGTGTTTAAGGACTGACAGTTCCTTTTGTGTCTCCTCTGCCTCCATGCACCTGTGAGCTGGCGTTGAGTTTGCCAATCATGATTACAAACTGAGGCTACTGGAGCTGTTCATCCTCCTTGCTCTCCTGCCACCTGGAACATCACTTACACTGACAGCACAGCTGAGAGTGTGTGTTATTCACCACTCCAAAATGAGTGACTCCCTTTGATCCTGGGAGCAAAGCCATAGTCTTCATAGTTTCCCTGCCTCGCCCTGCTCTGCAGAACCTCTGTCCTGCTAAGTGAGTGGATGGTGGGGTGGGAATAGTCTTAGGCAAGAATGTCATAGACTTTCATTGTTCTTCCTCAACATTTAGCAGTTTTTCAAACATAGATGCTGCTTAGGTTGTTGTATTCCTTTGTTGATTTCCAGAGGACTGATGGGGTTTCTGTCAGCTTCATCTTGCTTAGTTTTGGGGGAGAATTGCCTACCTTCTCACTAGTCCATAGCTAGACGTCCTGCCTCTCAGGAGGTATTCTTTTTTTAGCATAGCTAGTCCTTTCCCCAGGTGTACTTACTATTAGGAGACATATAAGGAAGGGAGAATTTTTAAGGAATTAGCTCATGTTATTGAGGTGCTGGCATTTCTAAAATCCACAGAGCAGTCTGGCTGGTAAGACTTGATGTTAGCTTTGAGTCCAAATTCTGCAGGGCAGCAAGCTGGAAATTCAGGTACAGTTTCTGTGTTACTGTCTTGAAGAGAATACCTTTTTCTTCAGAAAACCTGTCTCTTCTAAGGATTTCAGTTGTTGGATGAGGCCCACTCATATTATGAAGGGTAATCTGCTTTAATCAGAGTCTGTTGATTTCATTGTTAATCATATCTAACAAAAACCTTCACAGCAACATCTAGACCAAACTAGTGTTTGGTGTTTGACCAAACACTGGGCACCATAATGGCTTAGTTGACATATAAAATTAACCATCACACTTGCCCTCTGAGGATTCAGGGCACATTGTTTTAGTCTAGGTGTAGTCTGATTGCTGTCTGCTTTGTAGTATATATCCTTGCTCCAGCTAAACTAGTATTTCCATAATATGTGTATTTTACATATACATAGTATATGTATTTTACATAGTATATATGTTTTACATACATGCCCTTGCTTCTACACATCCACACCTTGGTCATAGTGTATCTTCAGCTTAGAATACTCTGTGTATCTAAACCTTCTCTGTTCTTCTGAAGGCTAGATCACAAACACACACGTAATTGTCTTTTCACAGTACACACCAGTTCTCCTGAACTACTTTTTGCCTAAATATGCTGTGTTCTGTCATGCCATTGTGCTTTTGCACACAAGTTCCTACTGCTTAGAGTACCTCTCCCTCTTATTTTCTATAAGGCTTTTATAGATTCATCTGGTGGACTTATGTGCTCCTTTTCATTATACTCTTGTTGTTTATATCTACTAAGGCACTGATTGCATTTTGTTGTCATTGTTTGCATATCTATCTGTCCATGAGACTTTGTTTCCTGAGAGCAAGGGTCAGTGCACTGCTGTCGTTTTCAAAGCTTATCCTCAGCCACACCCAAGTATCTGGCCTGTAGTATCTAAATAAATAATTTGTGGAATGAATAAACTAAATCTGTGTTAAAGATTTGGAAGTTGTATATTTCTTCTGTAATTTCTCTTTAGGGTAGAATGTGGAGATAATGACTTCTTAGGGATGAAGCAAATCTGAATACTAGAGATGAGCCTTGGGTTAGACCTCAAACATACTTGGTCATATTAAATATTTGCATAACCCACTGATAGAAATAGTTTTATTTATTTTTCCATTCTGTGGAAGGTACAAAGCTTCAGAATTGTCACATTAAGAAATGCTGTTTCTGATTAGAAATGATTTATTTTTGCTTGCACTTGTGTATACTTGTGTTCTAAGAATATCACAGTATGTAAGACAGCTTTAGCTTCTTTCTAGCCAGAATGTAATGGTGATCACTGATGACTAATTTGTGAACAGTTTTAATGTGATGATAAAACAGCTTTTTCCTTTTCTCACTAGATGTTGATCATCTTTCTGAAGTAGAATCTCCATGGCCTGAACATTTTCTGAAAATTATTTTGAGCAGAATATCTATTTAATAACAAGATAACTACATCAAGATGGTTGGAAAACTGAAGCAGAACTTACTATTGGCATGTCTGGTTATTAGTTCTGTGACTGTGTTTTACTTGGGCCAACACGCCATGGAATGTCATCACCGAATAGAAGAACGTAGCCAGCCCCTCAAATTGGAGAGCACAAAGACCACTGTGAGAACTGGCCTGGACATCAAAGTGAATAAAACCTTTGCCTATCACAAAGATATGCCTTTGATATTTATTGGAGGTGTGCCTCGGAGTGGAACCACACTCATGAGGGCCATGCTAGATGCACACCCCGATATTCGCTGTGGAGAGGAAACCAGAGTCATTCCCCGAATCCTGGCCTTGAAGCAGATGTGGTCACGGTCAAGTAAAGAGAAAATACGCTTGGATGAGGCTGGTGTTACTGATGAAGTGCTGGATTCTGCCATGCAAGCCTTCTTACTAGAAATTATTGTTAAGCATGGGGAACCAGCCCCTTATTTATGTAATAAAGATCCTTTTGCCCTGAAATCCTTAACTTACCTTGCTAGGTTATTCCCTAATGCCAAATTTCTCCTCATGGTCCGAGATGGCCGGGCATCAGTACATTCAATGATTTCTCGGAAAGTTACTATAGCTGGGTTTGACCTGAATAGCTATAGAGACTGTTTGACCAAGTGGAATCGTGCCATAGAGACCATGTATAATCAATGTATGGAAGTTGGCTATAAAAAATGCATGTTAGTTCACTATGAACAACTTGTCTTACATCCTGAACGGTGGATGAGAACGCTCTTAAAGTTCCTTCATATTCCATGGAACTACTCAGTATTACATCATGAAGAGATGATTGGGAAAGCTGGGGGAGTATCTCTGTCAAAGTGAGTAGAAGTTGTTTTTTGTTTTTTTTGACCCTGTGTTCAGGTAGTAAAGGGGTGTGTGTGTGTGTGTGTGTGTGTGTGTGTGTGTAAACTACAGAACGTGTTTCTGGAACAGATATAACTTCATCAGTGAGTTTTTTAAAAGATTTTTTTTTTAATGTTTACTTATTCTTGAGAGAGAGAGACAGAGAGTGAGAGAGAGACAGAGCGTGAGTGGGGGAGGGGCAGAGAGAGAGAGAGAGGAAGACACAGGACCTGAAGCAGGCTCCAGGCTCTGAGCTGTCATCACAGAGCCTGACATGGGGCTCAAACCCACAAACTCCGAGATCATGACCTGAGCTTAAGTGGGACACCTAACCTACTGAGCCACCCAGGTGTCCCTTTCAATGAGTTGTTTTAAAAATTCATTATAGGCCCTTTCATTTATTTAATTCATTTGTATTTTTATGAATTGTGGTTCTTATTTATTTGATAGAAGCCAGCCCAATTTATAGCAGTGAAAGGTATTTTTCTTTAATGTCCATCATTCAATTTTAGCGACTCCTGATTTCTAATTTCTAGGTAGTTTTATTAATAACAATAGTCAACTTTGTGTAGATTAAGGTTAATATGAGGAGAAGCATCTAATGTTGGTGAGCAAGTGGTGAATTCTAAGCATTTTGGAATTTTTAGTGATAGAGAAATATAAAGACTAAAATGATCTAACCCAGTCCCTTCATTTTACAGGTAGGAAGACTTAGTCAGAAAGTAAAAATGATTTACTCAAATTGAGATGGGAAGGCCAGGATTAGAATCTGTGCTTTGGTCTCAGTGGGGTAGTGCCATTTTCCATGGCGTATAACACATAGTGCTTCTTTTGTCATCTGATGGATCTTGATTTTTTTAAAGGGTATAGAACTCCAAAATTTGGAAGCTCAATCCATAATCCATACAGGAAGTTCCTTAGATTCAAATACTTCTAGAACTATTGCATTTTTCTTTCTTTCTTATGAAATAGTGACTGGGGTGCCCTGACTTGATCCGACAACCTGATTTGATGACTTATATACCTAGAATATGGATATAAAAATGGAAACTACTGTTAAATTCACATAGCATATTTTTATGAGGAAGAAGTTGGGTGTAACTAAGTTTTATTTTATTTCTTATCTTTTCCCATTCATAAAAGTAATATGTACCTGCTGTCAAAAAAACCCCAAAAAACAAAAAACAGGGTACTTCCCTTCTGTATCTGCTTTTTCCTACCAGGGAATATCTTCTTGATTTCTTTTTTCAATGTATAGAACTTGTACAGTGAGTATTGATTCCTGATGTAGATAATTTGAAAGGAGCAGCTGCATTTCTGCACCTAACTTACAGGTATGATGATAAATTATTAGGTATTATCACTCTACTGGCTCTGGGTTCTGTTTATTGATTCAAAGAGAATTATAGCCATAGCTAATGTCATCACAGTTTATTGTTCTTTTCATATAATAGACCATAACTAATTTCTAATCACTTGTATTCGTAGGTTAGCGTTTCACTTTGTGTGCTTGTATGTTGGCCCAGAGATTCTGTTGCTGGCTCCTTCTAGTAATACAAAATAACACCAAACCCCTGCACCCTTGCCATCCCTAGTCTCTCCAAGGAGGGATTAAGGAGATATGCTCAAGGTAAATTTTGGTGGAAATCAGGACAAGATCATTTTACATATATAATTACTATGTTTAAGGCAAACATGAATACCAAGGAAATTCATAGAAATTACAAACAAATGGATTTTAGAAGGGGAAGAGACCTTACTTAAGTAACATTTAGCATACAGAATGGAGGCCCAGTGAGGTTCTGTGCTTTTTCAAGAATCATATGTGGCAGAACCATGACTAGAATTTCCAATGCTTATTCCAAATTTCTTGCTATTATATGAGTTTTTTTTTTAATTAAGGAATACTTACATATTAAATGCACAGATATTCGGTGTACAATTTGATGAATATTTGTATCTGTATACACTTGTATAATCACCATCTGTATAAAAATACAGAAAATTCCCAGTACCCACTAGGCTCCTTCATGCTCCTTCTCAGTTAACATCCTCCTCAACCCAAAAGTAACCACTGTTTCATCCTCTGTCACCAGAGGTGCTATGACATTGTATATGAAGTTCAGAAATAGCCTTGCTTGTTTTTGAACTTCCTATAAATGCAAGCATGCCTATTTATTATTTTTTGCCTGGTTTCTTTCATTTAACATTAGATATACCCATACCATTGTATGGATTGATTTTTTCATTGCTATGTAATATTCCAATGTATAGATATAACACAATTTATCCATTGTTCCTTTGGTGAACATTTGGTGTTTCCAGTTTGGGGCTATTATGGATAAAGTTGCTAACACCATTCCTGTACATTACTATTGGTGGACATAAGCATTGATTTTTCTTGGGTAAAGAAAAATGAGTAAAGTCACTGGATCATAAAATATCTCTGTATCTCTATATTTATATGTCTTTAACAGATGCTTAATTGTTTTTCACAGTGTCTGCACCAGCAATGTATGGCTATAGTATACACTTACGTATTATAGTTGCTTTGCATCTTTGCTAACAACTTGTATTCTCAGTCCTTTTAATTTTAGCAGGGCTACAAGTATTTTTTAAACTTAAAAGCAAAACAAAATAACAACATTTGAATTCCTTTTTGAAACAAATCTTCCCAGAGTTCCAATGTAAAACAGATAAAAACAAAGCTGTTTTGTTTGAGGCAGGTCCAATCTAGGCTGTACTGCTTTTAAGGCTGAGTCTCTGTTCTCAAAAAGAGCTAATTGGGAGATGAGGCAGAAACATACAGAATTATTCCATTAATAAGTACCAAGTTGTAAATATCTCATATTACTTGAGAGTTGTGACCATAAGGAATTCATAGCCCAGAGTCAGTCATCCTGTGTGCTTTGCTTTCCTATAAACGTTTTTATTCTGGGGAAATTGTTTAAAGTCAGTATTTTAATATTTATTTTTGTATTATTTAGTACTAAAATATGGAAAATATTTACGCAGTTTTGAAGGCTTGAAGATATCACCAGATGGTTCAGGATCATATGAGAAATTGTTGAAGACAGTGATAAGGAAAGCCTTCACAGTTCTACCTGCCTTATTTTATTAACTATGAAAGTTAAGCTTTCCTTTGCTTTGCTTAGGAATTTCCAGTTGTTTTCAGTTAGAGTGGTACCTCTTGCCTGCCTGTCATTTCCAGTTACAGTAGGAGCATAGGGTAATCATCTGCTAGTATATTTAAGAGTTCCTCTATGAAAGAATTTGGTGGAAGAAAGCATTCTTTCATTCTGGGATGGTGAAGGGAGTCTTCATTAGAGACTGCTGAATATAGGATGGGCTTTTTTTTCCTTTCTTTTTTTTCTTTTTAACTGAAAATAAAAGCCAAGTAATGAGTCACGAAGGGATGAAAACAGATTCTTTGACTGGCTGATAAGTTTAGTTCTGCATTAAGGTTACAAGCATAGAATTTTAGGTATACTATTTATTATGTTTTTAGATAGTCATTTCAAGTTCAGTAGTATAACTAGTTTCTCCAGTGATTGATGTTGTTAACTTTGATGTTTTGAATACTGTGTTCTATTTTAATAAATTATTCACCCATACTCTTCAATTTCATATTAAATTGAGCTATAGTCTTGAATATGATGGCTCAAAAATATGATAGAGAATTCACTGATTGCTTTTATTTCTTCTAAACTTATAGAGAATAGAAAAAAAAAATTGAGACATTTCTAAATGTCTTTTTGCCTTTCAAGAAATGTTTGTACAGCAAAGTAGAGGGGTATACATTTTAAGGGAAATACCTTATGCAAATTCTAATAGAATTTTCTAAGAGATTGAATATGGAGTAGGATTTTGCTGATTAGTGAATGGTATCTACTGCTGATGCCTGCTCCTCCAATATTTTGAGTAGGAAATGGAAATAAAGTTTGAGGCTATTTACATTAACTTCTCATGAATTGTGGAATTTTTGTGGAATTTCAGTAATTTCCATCTGGGAACATTCAGGAAGTTACTAGAGTATACAGCATTGTTCCTGCTTTTAAACTCATTATACCATAAAATTGCCTGGAACAAATAAAAATCATCAATAACAATAACAAAACAATGTACCATCGTATACTTAAAGGTGACTAAAATAAAACAGTATCCTAGGATCAGTAAACAAGTTTATTAGGTCAAAAGAGCAAAGTCAGAAAACAAAACAAAACAAAATATAATGGTAACCCTTAAACTAGAACCAAAGAATCACAGCTATAATTCAGAGACAAGTTATCTGCTTTTAGGGCAGAAAAAAAGATATGTAACTATTAAGCACAAATAGGTTAGAAGGAAAAAAAGCAGCAGTAAGTAGAAGAGAACAAATAGGAATACAATAATTGACAGTCTCTGAAGCTTCTAGTAAGTAAAGCAGAGAGAAAACTAGAAGTCAGATCCAGAACAAAGTATTAAAGAACAAAAATTCAACGGAGTAAATCTTAAAGATTTAATTAGCGTTATTGATCAGTTCATGAATCAGGCAGAATCCCATCTAGCAAGTAGAGGGGAACTCCAAAGGGCTACAGAAAAGGAAAGGTTTTTAAAGGTAGAAAGCAAGTGGAAAAAAGGAAATTATTAGCAAAGAATCCATTGTTATAGACAAGGTTGCCCTCCTAAGGGGAATGGAGGGGGGTCTATCATTAAATTTATAAGTTCTGACCAGGAAATTCCCATTTTGACTGGTTAAAGGTTACATTTCAGGGGGTGTGAAACTGCAGTTAGATTAGGTATTAATTCTGTTTTGCTTTGTTTTGTTTTGTTTTTTTAGTTATAAGAACCAGTTTAATTTGTTCTTTGCCTCTCTGTTGTCATCGACCTTAATTAGGTTGATTTGATGTTGAACAAAAGGGCCTCCACCAAACTTAACATACATAGTCTTATCACAGTTGGATGCAAGCACACAAAGATGGGCTTGGTGCCTGTC